TGTTTTCGCGCAATTATTTAAATCCAAATAAAAGGAAACCGACAAACGTTTTATTTAAACATTATAATTATTATAATTCTAAATACTAGAATGTTGGTTAAATAATGGTAGCATACACTATACGTCTATATGCTACAATCAGCGGCCGCAAAAGTTTCGACGCAGACACTGTTTTCGACCAGAGTCGCCCGGCGGCAGTCGCGATACACCGTCCTCGTCGCGGTTGAGCCGCCGGCCGCGCACTGGAAACCAGTCTATAGGCACTACGCGTAAACGCCGTCCACGCCAAAGCCGCGGCTAGCCGCACATTGGAAACCGTACGTTAACTGACTACAATTTCCAGTTTGTAAAATTAATGTTAGCGTGTTGACCGTGTTACAAGTACAATTGGAATTGGTACAATTATTCAATAAAAAAAAAAAAAAAAACAAAAACTAATAACCGATCAAAAAGCGATAGTAGTTTATTGCGAATTCAAAATCGGTAATGACAAGATTTTGTCAACCGCTGAAAAATAATGTGTGTAGATAAATTAAATAATATTAAGTGTACAATTTTATGTCTTGTATTTTCCCAATAATATGAAAAACTTTCATAATAACTTAATGAAAATAATTTGTAAGATAAAGTCGATTGTTTTTAATAATCTATAATATTAGCCATTTCTTATAATAATACGTGAAAAATACAAAATTGACTGTAGATTCCATGTACATTTAATTCGTATCGTTTTAGATTTTTTATTTTACAAAATTAATATAATGTACGATTTTTTTTTTTCTTATGGTTTTACTGTATTCACTTATGCAGACGCGATTTACGTACACGCGATTTATGTACGCGCGAGTATTAAAATTGCCTGTGTTTTTCTCTTTATAATCTGCTGGGTAATAATATTTATTATGCATAATATATTCATTCATTTTCCGTTAAATGTATTTAACGTTCAATAATCGAATTACATCTAATGCATTTTTCATTTCCTAGAATATTTAATCTAGCAGGAATTTTGTTATACAGTATTTTGAAATTACAATTTGTTTATGTTTTAGTTTTTCTTAGATTTTTTATACTTGAATATTAGTTCTTAATTCAACTGTCAATTTATCATAATGTTACGAGTGTACCGTTTTGAAATAATAATTTACAATCCTCGTACATATTACCATTGTTATCCGTATATACTCGGGTGAGTAATTTTTGTTTGAAAAATATATTACATCAATTTATTTTCCGTTACATGTATTTAAAGTTCGATAATCAAATATTTTCAAAATTAAATCCAAAGAATTTTTTGTTTTTCAAGAATATTTAATGTGGCCAAGTTTTTGTGGTACAATAGTTTTATATAGCTATTAAAACAATAGTTTGTTTTTATTTTGGTATTTTGTAGATATTATCAGGAGCGCGATTTCAATTAAAAAATTGAGGGTGCTGAAGCCCTTCGGAAAAAAAAATCTAGTTCATACAAACAAGAGATCTATAAAATATAATAATTAATAGGTGCTATTCACTCTCTTTTATTGTAGTACAATTATTTAAAATTGGTTAAAAAAATAAATTAAAATATGTAGAAACGTTGCTCAGCCGTTAGTTCACAAAAAATCCATAATGATCTCTGGATTAAGTCTTATAGAATTTTTGTCATTTTGTGACAAATACTTAGTTTACTCATCTACATAATAATACCTAACATTTGAAGTTGATTTTTATTTATTTATAGAATGACCTTTGAGACGTCCCGATTCGGCGGCCTTAGTTCCGTGCGCTTAGTTGACTACCCGTCTAGGAGTAAGGTTCTTGGGAAAGTAATATTGTGGCCGATAACCCGTGCGATAGCTTTGAGAAATATACGTATGCACGTGATTACGGTATTGGAGAATTTTTATCTGACGGGGAAAATATAAGTATGTGTTTATACACAATTCAAACTAAATGAAAAAAATAAAAAATTATAAATCGTACCCATTTCAACGGAACATCATCGAAATGTTCTTCGTACTGCCAGGGGAATTAAAAGAGAAATTGATAAAAAAATAGAAAAAAAAATTATAATTTCGAATCCTGGCTAGGTCGCCATCTGAGACGTCCCGGTTCGGCCGGCCTTGTTTAGAGAACCGTTCCGAGCGTCCAGTTGACTAGCCGTCTAGGAGCGAGGTCGCCAACTTAGAACCGAAGTTCGAAAACCGGAGTCCTAGGATTTTCGCAGATGTATCCTAGCACCGTGAACGCCGGGTTCATCGGGTGATGCGGGAGAAAAGGGAATATTACATCAAGCTAAAATAAATAAACACGTGGTTTTTCGGGGAGAATAAAGAATTGTTTATTAAGTCAGAGGGTGACTGGGGCGTCAACCATTCATAAAACCTGTAGTCCGGACACGTGTACCGATGTAATGGGAGCGTGCGGGCCGGGACTTACTACTAGTCATTAATAATAACGAATCCGGATTCACGTGCGCGTAGATCGATACATACATATTCAGAGACGGACCTCCGCGTGGAATTTCGTGGAAAACGGTGTACATATTTCGGGAGACCCCGGCGGGGATGTGACGTTTGCCGGATCACACATGTCACAACCGCGAAGGGCGACCTGAAAGCTTTTATTCCAGATTGATCTGGAACGTGGTTGCGGTGTTACCCCACGGGTTAACCTGCGGGGTGCGTCCGAACGCGGATCGCGAGATGGAGAAATCGATCGATATTATATAGATTTTTTAAATACGCACACACACACACACACACACGCACGTGGTTGTGGAGCCGAGTGCCCGAAAAAGGGAATACAAAAAATAAAGAAATCAAATTCGAGGGGGGGAAGGGGAGGGAGGTTCGCCTATTGCACATAGGATGTGGAACGCGGGGATTACCACACCGAGACGGACGCACAAACTCAATAACGGCCGGTTGATCCCCGTAGGTGTAACGGAAGAATCAAACATAGACGAAATATTATATCGTGCACGACTCTAACATACACAACGCGGACCGTAGGACGCGTATGCAAACGGGGGAAAATATCGTGTTGGGAAGCGTGCGCGTGATATTGAACAAACGGTTGTTCGAGAGAGACGAAAAACGTTTTAAACAAAGTGTTTAAACGGGGGACGTTGACTAAACTGACTTAAAGCTTACCTAACCGAACGGGGTGTCGGCCAGTTATTAAACTGCATACATGTTACCGATCATCTCGCCCGAGGATGTCCGCCCGGCGGGCCAGATCGGGACTCACTCCATTTGTCCGTTTGAGGCGCCGTCGGGACGGCGAACGAGCCAACGTACACGTCCTTTCTTATTGGCAGAGAATATGCGAACCCGCACAGTACGGGGGCGTTTTAGCAAAGAACACTGTATTGAGCGACCGTCTGGTGACGAAGTCTCGACACGGGGTCCGGACGCGGAGTGAAAAACGGACGAACAACAAACCTGGGTAGCGGAGCGCCGAGACGTTCGTGACGCACGCCGCCGCGGGCCGACGTTTTGAGCGACAAGGGGAGAAACGTGATACGATTGGCCGTTGACCCGTAGACGGGAATACAATATTATTGTAAATCGCGAAAAATTTCGATCGCACATACCATTTCGCGCGGGGGGAGGGGGCGAAGGGGGATTATTGATCACGATGACATAACATATCCGTCGCCGCGGGCCGCGCAATTTATTAACCGGTCGACTACACCGATTGCAAATACGTTTGTTCCACGATAACGGAAAATGGCCGTTTTTGGACGTTCCGCCTTACTTAAATGTTTCTTTGTAATATGCCTTTATTATTCTACATAAGCATTTGCAATATTGTATTTTAACGTAGGTAACTTGTATTGTATAATTAATTACAGAGAAAAGAGACAGTCTGACGATATACCCAGTCTGAATTTCTATTCTCTTCAAAATCAGAAAACACGCAAAGAGACCTGTTTTTTTCACGAAGTACTCGTGTTTTATATTTGCCAGTTTGTTATGCGGTTTTCATTTGGTAGGGATTCGGCGAATAAAATTATTAAACTTACTATGTTTGCAAATTTAACACAAGGTTCATTATAAGTTATGGATTAGTGGTCTAAAAAACAAATTTGAGTGTGACGAGTTAGTTTTTTTTTTTCAACAGCCTTTTATGTCACTAAACTTTGATTTGAATGTCGTTTTTGTTAGCAACGGTTGATCGGTGCATATGGTAAGTATACTTCTTGATAGATATATATACGGTGGCTAGCTACAATCAATAACAGATAATATAACAATGGAAAAACTGGGTCATTAATAAACAAATTATACCATTCTATTATCTACTTAGATATTTTTTTGTAAAATATTTAATATATTCAACAGGTATATTCAAAAAACGAATAGAAATTAATAAGAAACCAATAAACCTTTATTATTATTTTAATTGTTTTCCTTTCAGTAGACTATATTTTCTTTATAATAGCATGACAAATTTTTGAGAGTGCTAATTTTAAAACTAAGGGTGCTAAGCACATCCAAGCCCCCCTAATTGCGCCCGAGGATATTATATTCTTTAATATTACATTTTTAGTTCAACTGTCAATTTAGCATAACAATTGAAAGTATATAGTTTTAAAGTTTTTTTTTTTATAATACTAAAAGGTTCATTAATATTTTTTTTGTATTCAAATTCATCGTACAAGTATAATATTAATATGGTTACCAAACGTCCTACATTCGTTTGATTTATCCTACATCCAACAACGCTTTAAACTTTATGTAGAATAATACTAAAGTTCAAATGTCAATATATATATATATATATATAGACTTCAATAGGTTATAGTTTAAGGTTTGAAAAAAATACCTTTCAAATTTCAATAGTTCATTATTAAGTAAATCTTTTATTGTATTAAGTTATCAATTATATACCTAATTATAGTATAATTTAAGATGATAAATAATTTAAATACTAAAGTATTTAAACTAGTTACAGTTATACCTAAGATTTAATAATTATTGTTTGAAAAATCAATTGTTAATAAAATATAGGTAGATAGGTAGGTAATATTTTATTACACATTGTAATTTATGCATATTTTAAATAATAAATGTACTTGCCTATTTGCTAACAATTTGAACTTCTCTAATAAATTGTAGAATGCCAGTTGAATTCTCTAATTCAAAAGAGTAGATAAATAAAGATTACAAAAAAAAGTACCTATAAATAAACTGTAGCAGATTATTTGTTAAAAATCATACTTATTAATAAATATTAATACATACCTATTCTACTGACATTACATTTTTTTATTAAACTACTAATGAAATAAAATAAGACATGAAAACGAATTGTCTCAAGTACATCACATTTACTGAACAATTTAGTAAGTGATAATTGTTAATGGATGGTACTTTGAAATTTTGCAATATGTAACAAAAGTTTATACCTATTTGATCAAAACGAACCGAAATAATTCAACTAATTCAAGTATATCAATTTTTTGACTTGATTTTTTGATTTTTGACTTGCTCATCCTTCCTTTTTTTTGCCTTGGTGAAGTTGATGTGTGCCATTCTTGACTCTGACGCTTTGTTTCCGGATCATACTCGAAAATCCAAGGCTCGTCTCCAGTAATGACACGTTCTAAGAAAGAAGGGTCATTTTCAATCTGTTCCAAAAAATCGAGACACCTGTCCCTCCTGTTGTCCTTTTGGTCTTGCGATAGAATTTTCGGAACCATTTTTGCACAAATTTTTCTCATCTCCAAATCATTGGTCAAAATGTGATGAACGGTGGTGTGAGTCAATCCTAACTGTTCTCCGATCATTCTGACGGTCAACCGACGATCGGATCGGACAAGATCTCGAACTCCGATGACGTTTTCATCAGTTTTTGCAGTTGAAGGTCTTCCACTGCGAGGTTCATCTTCAATCGCCTATCTGCCTTCAGAAAATGCCTTAAACCACCTAAAAAACCTGAGCCCTTGAAAGTACACTTTCTCCATATACTTGTTGGAGCTTTTGAAAAGTTTCTGTCGCACTGTGTCCAAGTTTGAAACAAAATCGGATAGCACACCGTTGCTCAAAATTGTTGTCACTCATTTTCAGAACGTACTAAAAAAAAATCGGTTTACGAAAATAATTGTCACAGACCAACACGCGACACTACGGAGTTTAAATTCGTACTGAAGGTACATTAAATGTTTATCTACAAACCTTTTCAAACGGAAAGTCATTGGTGTTATCATATAAAAAGCTACGATATCAGTCTCATTACTTTATTTACAGACCTCGTATGTTACCTATTATTAATATTCTTTTATTCTTTTTTATTCTAACGACAGAATAAGGAGAACCGAAATAATAAGACAAGAAATATAATTTTAGATATTTCATATAGTATTANCCAATGATTACTGATTACTGAGAACTGACACCGAGTACCGTACCGATTACCGACAGTAGTCGAATAGTAACGAGTTATCACGATCATGGACGTAAAAAGCCGGTCACACACGATTCGTGTACTCGGCGAATAATCGTCAATCGTAATGCTTTACGACTTTACGCGTCGTGTATGAGGTATTTCATCAAATTTTTATCCATATAATTATTTTAAGTTTAGGCAAGTACCTAAGTTAATTTTGAAAGTTTCAATTTATTTATTTTATTGTTATTAATCCATTTGTTTGAGGATAGAGTGCAACGTAACATAACATTGTAAATGGTTTTTTTATATTTGTATTTTTATAATTATTTTTGCTGAAAACAAATTTTTTTTTTTAAATCGGTACTTTATTGTAATTGTACCGATTGAAATAATATTAAAACGGTAGTAATTTTTGATTAGGCATTTCAAATGTATATTTATTATTTATATTATAATACTGGAAAAATAGCGTATCTGTTACAAATTTAATTATTTAAAGCTAATTTTTTTTTCGAATACAGTAAAATAATGTCGTATAATAGAACTACGAAGTACGAAGCATATTCGTAAATAAATATCCATAGCAAGAATGAGTACACATTTGAATATATTATGTATTTTGAACAATACGAATCCGAGTACAAATGTAACTAAACAAAGAATGTACCGATGTAACGAGTATTTTGGAATCGGTACTGTACAGTAACTGTACCGATTGGAACGATTCCACTAAAGGAACGATAATTCCCACCACTAGAAGGTACATTAAATGTTTATCTACAAACATTTTCAAACGGAAAGTCATTAGTGTTGTCATATAACAAGCTACGATATCAGTCCCATTACTTTATTTACAGACCTCGTAGTAATACAAGATTAGTATGAAAACAATGATTTTTTTGGTGAAACTTGTTGATTGATATATCTGTGGCGATAGTTAACTTTAATGAATAAATTAGTTTCATGCACTGTGTCAGAATATTTTTTATGTATAATCCTAGGGATCGATTATTGTCCATGAAAAAAAATATGACGGGGGTCGATTGTCGGTATACGGCATGTTTTCGTGGGGACCAATTGTCCTATTTCCGGTACCTATCGGATAAGGACAGTCATCCGAAATGATACGAGAAACTGATGATAAGGATAACTGAATAGATATGCGACCCAGCCGCGTTACCGAAATCGCATAAAACAAGAGATTTTAAACTACTTTTTTTTTTATAATAAAATCACATTGAAAATAATATCGTATTTTTATTATTTTCTGACAACTACTTATCACTCAGAGGATATCTACTACCATAGAAATTGGACTTGGAGATTGAACATTCAAATTATTTATTTGTTGGAATGTATGTATTGAACGTTTCTAATTGGTGGTTTTAATTCATTTATTATACAATATTCAGGATTGATTCAATATCTATACATAATGCATATAGGTAAATAAGATCCAGTTACTTCAGCAATATGGTTATAGTTAAATTGCATAATCAACATAAATATTGGAAATCTGTCCATGTACTGGCAGCAAGCATGAACTCAATAACGACAAGACAAATTGGTGCAGACATTGAAATTAAATCTCAGATTGGTATTTTGAAGTATTTATATTCTTAATTTGCATTAGTTGAAAGGTACGTATAAGAAGTTATAGTTTAAGTAGTTAATTAATTTCTTGTAATTCTATACCCGAATTAATTTATAACGCAATTTTCAGGGTATGGGTCTGAAAGGTATTGACGCTAAAGATTTGTTCAATACAACCAAGCAGAAAAATAATATGCTTCAAAGCACTGGCTTTATTCATTTTTAAAACTGTTGTAAGCTGCCACCGAACACTTAAATTTTAGGTAAACTTATAACTACTAGGTCTGTAAATATTATACCTACCTGTTGATAATTTGGGATTGAAAAAAACTGTTGCTCTTTTGAAGTGACTCAGACATCAAGCTATTTCCATAATAATTGAAGCACTGCTCAGCAATAAATAGTAATTGGATGGAGCTAAGTCTGGTGAATAAACAGCATGTGAAAGTGTTTTTTTCGCTACTATAATATAGTATGCAATTTGTATGAATTTGTATGCCCATTTCCGAAATTTATAGGACCTCCCCTTCAAGTCCAAATAACAATCTAAGCACTAAAATAAATTTGAAAATACCGTAAATTTGTATGCGTTCAACATGAGTTATTTAATCAATAGTTGGGGTTATCAACTTTTACACTTATATAATATTTAAAAAAATGAAATAAAATTTGTATAGATTTGAACATATAATGTAGATAATGTGAAATAATAAAATAGATAACATGTGGTAGGTATTTAAAAATTATCATATAATAATAATATATACTAAATAATAATAATTATGTATGATACTATGATAATAATACAAAAGCCAATTAAAAGTTGTACTGATAAAAAAAATAAAATTATTTTAAGCTTAAAACTTGAATTATATAAAAATAAATAAAAACACAGTCTATATTGTACATTTTTTTTCTTTTGTTATCGAAGGTATATTCATTTATATTGGTAATTTTTGTTTTATTTTTGCATATAGTATAATTAAGTTTTAAATGTTAAAAGAGATATGTATTAAATCATATATATTAAATAACTCATATTGAATATAAACAATTTTATTGTACTTTCAAATTCATTTTAATGCTTAGATCATTTGGAGTTGCAGGGGAGGTTGCAAACATTTTGAAAATGGGCATATAAATTCATACAAATTGCATACTAAATGTTAGCAAAAAAGAATTTATAAAAATCATATGTGGGCGTGTTGGGGAAATGTCCATCAAAAAAAATAGTTAAAAATTGTACAAATTATTTTATTTTATTTTTAAAAATATTTCACAATTTTTTTATTATTAACAAACTGATATAAAGGTGTTCACCATTTTAGTTCCATTATTATTGAGGAGAGAAAGCCTCCATAACAAAACCATTTTGTGTAACAAAGTTATTGATTATTTATTTGTATCTAGTTTATGAAGTAGTTAACACAGGTATGTTTTAGGGCTAGACACAACTACTTAATTTTTCCATAATCATATTATAAATGGTCAATGTTTTTCCATGTGACAGAATATATCCAAATAGTATATTACATTTCTTATGTCTTCATCTAGAAATTATATCTTATTACTATCTATATATATTAAATGTACCATTGTCAACACTGGTTATTATATACTAGTAATTGTCTAAATATATATGTATCCACTTAAGCATTCTCATCATTGCTACACTCATTCTATGTTCTATTTTTTCTGTCTGCCACCAAACATTCTGAATCATACTATATATCAGAGGTATTAGTTGAAGTTTCGATAAAGGAAACACTTAATTCTCAAGGGAATCTCAAATATTTTTTATTCAAAGTATTGACCATTTGATTCTAAACATTTTGTCCATCTTTCAGGCAAATCATGGATACCATTCCAAAAAAACTTTTTCTCTTTCGAGGCAAACTATTCGACGAGCCATTTTTCGACATCTTCAAAATTGGCGAAGCGCTGCTCTGCGAGTGAGCGGTCCATCGATGCAAAAAGGTGATAGTCAGAAGGGGCAAAGTCTGGAGAGTACTGCGGATGCGATATTTTCCAATGTTGTCATGTTGTAGAATAACTTTGCCATGCCGCCAGGTCCATTCTGGCCGTTTTTGATCAACGCATGATTCAAATTGATAATTTGTTGTCAGTAGTGATCCGTATTCACCGTCTCATCAGGTTTTAATAACTCAAAGTACACCACACCACACTGGTCCCACCAAACATAGAGCATTGTGTTACGGCCAAAGCGTTTTGGCCTTGGAGTCGATGGGCCGGCCTCACCAGATGAAAGTCATGATTTTTTCTACTTCGGGTTCTCTAAATAAAAACATTTTTCGTCCTCGTGACAATTTGATGCAGAAAAGATTTCCTTACGAATCATTAAAGCAGAATTTCACAAATGGTTTTTCGATTTTCCATTTGTCTATCGTTTATTTGGTGTTTTACCCATTTTTCATACTTTTGAATCTTTCCCATGGCTTTTAAACGTTGGCAAATTGCTCCTCGGACCACATTTAGTGTTTGTGCCAATTGTTGCGATTGGGTTGGGCCTTCATCCAATAAGGCCTGCAATTCCTAGTCTTCGAACTTTTTCGCTGCACCAGGATGTTCATTGTCTGTTAAATCGAAATCTCCAATTTTAAATTGACGAAACCATGTCTCGCATATTTTAATCACTGGAGCATGTTCACCATAAGTTTCTACCAGCTTCAGCGGCTTTTTTCTTTTGTTGAAATAAGAAAAGCAACAAATGCGGCAAATGCGACTTACTTGGAACGAAAAATCTCCACTTTTAAATTGACAAAATCATGCCGTAAATGCAATTTATTTGGAACGAAACTCGATATATCCACTAAGGTAAATAACTATGACGCTATTATTTTGGCAGAATGTAACTTGTGTATTTTTGAAGGTTAATATCCATAGAAGAATATGACATAGATGCCAAATCATAGAATTGTATACATATCTTATATATACAATTAATTTTGTGTTTTTTCAGTAGCATCGTCAAAGTAACAAACTTTTAACAAGGAACTAAAGAATAGAATTATATAAAGCGGATCCAGTCCAGCTATTGCAGCTGTATCATAAATGAGGACTTTTGCAGAATCTCAACAAAATTATCCGAATAGTTTGAAATAGAATATTATATATTATATACAAGTAATTTTAAAACAATATGAAAAATTGTTTAGTTTTAACAAATAGTATTTATTCAAAAAATATAAAAAATACCATTTGAATAATACTCCACTACACTCCCCCTATCCTCACTTAAAAGTAAAATATCTCATAAATAGGTCCACAGAAATAAAAAAATTTCAACACTAAAATTTAATTTAACAAATACTTGTATTATTTCCTGAAACTTTACTAACAAAGAAATATTGATAACCAAACACAATTAAAAAAAAAATTGTTAATGGTATTGAAGCCAGTTTTCCAATTTTTCTTCGATTTGGTAAAATTTAAAAAATTTCTTTACCTTTTAATGAACCTTAAAAATAACACTTTTCTACTAATCTACTGACCCATTAAAAGAAAAGGGATATGCCAAATTTTAGAAATAAGCAAGCCAGACAAATATATAGGATTTGGAATGGACAAATTTAAATTTAGAAAACATATTTAATTTTGTATTCTACTTTTCTTAGGTTTTGTTGAAGTGATTTTTAATATTCAACTATACTGTTAAAATATTGATATCAATTTAAAACTTAGTTAAAAGAAAAAAAACATACATTTATATTATTAGTATATCTAGCAGCCAATAATAATAATAAAATATTTGAATATATTATTAGTTATATTGTTTTACGTGATCTTCACTGTCATTAGTATTAATATTGTTATGTTAAAATATAATATTACAGATACATCTACTCAGCAAAATATGTTATGCGGTCACTGGTTGTAATAGGGGCAGTGCGCTACTATCACGAGCTGGTGCATTTATTTTATAAAAATTATTTAAAAGGATTATTAAAATATTGTAAAAATCACTATTCTTCAAGACTTAAGGTGAAAGGCCTGTTAAAATAAAGTATTGCATTATATTTTGAAAGACTCGTTTGTGTTTAATAAATTATTTTTATGTGTTTAAATGCAATTATGTTTCCTGCGGTTACCTTGCGTTCTTTAGTACATACCGGGTGATTAGATACCAAAATTATACTCAACTACAAACAGTAATTGAAATATTAAGCTATCAAGATCTGGGATAAGGGAATTGGTGTTAGAACCATAAGGATGAACATTCCCTTGGTTGTCTGATCAGTAAAATCAGCTAACGAATTCTAGAGCAAAGTTGTTGATGATAAAACATTAATGTGCGAAGATATTGAACTAGTTTCGTGATTTGTTACCATAGTAATAAAAAAGAATCTTGTGTATATGACAATACCAAAATACACATTTAATATTTCAAATATCAAAAATAACCTCAATATCAAACCCTATAAAACTAGAATACAATATCATTTGTTTTCAAAACTATAATCGATCCTCATCCTAAGTCTCAAACTTTTGTCTGGCTTTTGGTGTGTTTCACATGATTATTTTTATCTCTACAGTCTCCTAATATTTTTCAATGTTATTCATGATCAGGCATTAACAGTAGGTATTTACTTATAAATACCGTTTTAAAGTTCTATCCAAATATTTAAACAAATGTAATGCCACTAAAAGTTGAACCACCTAGGACTTTCTAATATAATATATTTGAATATTTAAAATGGATATACCTATATTATTTTGTAATATGCAACTATAATCTAAATTCTAAGATACTTACCTACCTACTTTTTATTTAATTGTGAATTTTGAATTAGGTACTTATTAGTAGGTAGGTATATTATGGTGTGTATAGAATTTACTTCTATCACTAGGTTTAACATTAGATACCTAGTATGGTTATGGTATTATAATTATTATCATGTTAAAAGAATTTTAGTATAATAGTAAATATCATGTAGTTGACAATGATTAAATTTTAACTTTTCCAACCTAACTATAATTGATAATTATGCAGCAATAAGTACCTATCTTCTTCTTTCAAAAAATCCTTTGATATTTTATTGTCAAGTACAATTTTATTATTGAACCAATTTAAGTTAAGCAGTTAATATATAATGCACATATCATAACTCATAAATCCAGGTAGTTACATGCAGTGTTCGGCACGTTCCTTATATAAAAGGAATTCGTTCTGTTCTTTTATCCTAATAAAAAAAATGAATTCGTTAATTGGCTGTTACATTGCAAAACGAACGAGTTCATTTTTTGGTTTCCAATGGGAAAAATATATATCGTTAGACTCAATTGTGTCGTCAGCGATAATTTGCAATGTATTTAACTCTATTGATACGCGGTTAAAGTGATCAAATGTTTATCAATTACACTCTACTCGTCATAATATTATGTAGGTAGGTAGATGTATAATAATATTTGATTCTTAATATACCTACCCAATTCGTAACAAGAATATTACTTCAATATGATATCTACGTTTTATGTTTTACACTTAGTGTTCTAAAATTCTTATCAATCGATAGTAGGTATAGGCTATAGTATCCCAAGTCTCGATCGGCATCATAACATTATAATTGTGTTGTTTTATGTACAATATTATGTTGCTGCTTTATTTCTATAAATGAAACGGGCGAGAAGTTGGATAGGTAGGTATACAAACGGGAATTTAACGTGTACCTGTAAGCAATGGTTAACCATTGGTAACGAAAAAAAAACCATTCTGTGCGGTGTTCAGTAGACAGTTTCGATTTGTCGACAACACACACACGTACCTATGTAATATTGGACACAACACGTTTGGGCACAAAATCACAACACGCCATTTTATTATGATATTATGGTTACGCTTATGAAAAAGCGAGACATAACATTATTTCAATATTTGAAAATTATGGGAATTCGACACCAATGAAATACAATACTACTAATATTATTACATATATTGTTTGATTTAATACGAGCGCAATACTCGCGTATTTTTTATAACTATAAGGTGCTTTCATTATTATTTTGATTATCATACAAAAATTGACTTAACACGAGAACACGAGTTATTTTATGTGTATATTTTGTCATGTGCCTTTCATACTTCTAGAACAAGGGTGTGTACTTATTACATTTTAATGTCCAAACGCGGTATCTATTTAGGGATATTGAGTGTCCGAACGTTGTGCGGGTTTTGATCGCTGAACAGGTAAAAGTGGCCAAACCGTGCTGCACCGGTCATATTATGGTAAAGTAATTACACATGAGTTAAACATTTTCTTTAATAACGTTTTTTTTTTTTTTTTTTTTTTTTCTAATAAGAACCTGTTCTTCCGGTCATCCTATTTATTGGGAAAACTCTAGAAAAAATTTAAAAAATGACCTCCTAAGGTACCTCCACTGTCAGATTTCCCTTCAGGTAAAGCGCTGTCCGTTGTAAATCGGTGCCAGTAGAAAAGTTATCCACAGGAAAACTAAAAAAAAATAAACGCCCTTGTAAAACCATACGCTTCTTCACTCCACTCGGAATCTACAATACCTACCTATTGATATTACAGTGATTATAATAATAATATAAAGATTAACGACGGCACGCCGATTACGAGATCGCCGATTGGCAATAGACACACTCAGAAAATAAAATAAGTATATATTATTATACGTATTTTAGTTTCGATTATTCACATATTCGTGTAAACAAGAAACAAGAAGGACGGACTAGATTAAGTTCGTTTTCTTTGATAAAAGGCCCACGTCCCGTTCGTCGTTCTTTTTCTACAAAAAGGAATCCGTTCTTTTTAGAACTCGTTCCTTCCAAATGATTACCTACTAATTTGTATTTGTACCCACTAATAAGTAACTACAGTTTAGTATGATTTTTGATTACCTACCTATTGAATTATTTTAATTATAAATCACAATATGAAAAATAATTGTTTCCTATTTCTCGATTCAATCGGTGCTCGAATTGGATAGGTAAATTAAAGTAAGGAGGAGCTCTGCTAAGCTATGAAAAAAAAAAAGAAGAAAAAAAAAGTGTTTCGACATAAATTTCATTTAGCTTGGATTTAGGGTTGTGGGAGCCGATACAAGCGAAACAAAAAAAGCTGTCCTAGGATGCAGTCACTGTTATAGGTAATTTAATGTACATCTGTACGCAACGATAAACCATCGCTAACGGAAAAACGATCCTGAGCGGAGTTGAGTTGATATCAGTGTTGCTTTGTCAACATAATATTTACATATTATACTTGCATTTCGTACATTTTTCCGGTTAGGTACAAGATGTAACAATCGTTTTTTTTTATTATTTTCAAACGTATTACAGTAATAGGTGCGGTGTATCGAAATTCGTTTTAATAAATTAAACATAATACAGACCAATGTAAAAACTCTGATTATTAATTTGTTTTTTAAACTATTTTGCATAATATGATTAAACATTTAGTTTATTATTTCTAAATACGCCCCCGGCCTACTTCGAAAACCGAAGTTGTTGATTTGTTTCCCCATTTACAATACCGTCGGACGTTTCCGTTTCAAAAACAACCCCGTGGATTCGATACCCATTTTGAATATTTTAAAAACGTTTTGCACGGCGCACAGTACGCGTGCACGGAACACTCTGTACGTAACGATGCGTCCGCGAACCCGGTGTATAATATTGAAATATAATAACAACAATGATAATAGTAATAACGTTTCTATAGTATTTTTTTTTTTTTCTCTACGTATAGACGACTCGAGTGACCCGGCGCGCGCGCGTGTGTCTGAAAACACGACTGCGACGGGCGGTGTGAAGTGGCGCGCAGTAGTTTCGGAAGATCCGGGCGATGTTTGATCAATCGCTGCGTAACGCGGCGGTCGCCCGGGGGTGGGATGGGGCGAGAAACGGCCCGCGGCGGTGACCCGCGGGCGAAACGGTTCGTGCGCCGAGGAGGGCTACGCGGCGGGTCGCAAACGTCACGTGCGTAATAACGAGGCGATACGCGGCGTAATAAATTATTACGGGATACGCACGAC